GAGCTGGGATTGTGGCTCAGCGGTAGAGCGCTTGCCTAGCATGTGCAGGGGGCTGGGTTCGATCCTTGGCACCACATAAAAACAAAAAAAAAATAAATAAATAAAGGCATTGTGTCCAACTACAACTAAAACCACAAATAAATAAATAAAAGAAAAAAGAAGTAATTCTGTTCAGTCTTCCCACTTAGAGTCACAGCTAGAAATGAAAAGTTAGGTGGGTGAGGTAATCACTTTGGGTTCAAAATTTAAGGAATGACCAAAAACAAAACAAAACAAAAAAACTCCACAATCAAGATAAGTGATATTTTAATGCAATGTTTTTAAAAAAAAATCAATGTTAGACAATCCATTATTAATGAAATAGCAAAATGTTAAGACAGAATTGATATTGTTGATTTTTCTCCTTTTGCCTCAGGTACCATTAAATCTTGGTAGGACGCTGTACTTGCCTAAATCTACTGAATCAGAATTTCTGAGAGGGAAGCCCAGGAATTGGGTTTTTTTTTTTTTTCATCTTTTAATATCAACATGTAAATTTTATTTTGTTTCTAAACAGGGAATCCCAGGAATTGGTATATTTATTTTCTTCTTTTAAGATCAACATGTGAATTTTATTTTGTTTCTAGCAAATGTTAATTAGCATATTAAAAAGAATTTTATAAAGTGAATAACTACATTTGATTACAATAAATGTTGGATTAATAAACTATCTTCCTAATCAATAAAATAAATTTCAATACTCAAATTAAATTTCTATACATGATGAGTTAAAAATCTCCAAACTGTTTAAGGGTGATAACAGTTTCAATTTAAAATATTTGTATCAAATCTTTTCGGCACCAGGGATTGAACCCAGGGGCACTTAACCACTGAGCCACATCCCCAGTCCTTTTGAGTCAGGGTCTCCCTGAGTTGCTTAGGGCCTTACTAAGTTGCTGAGGCGCACTTTGAACTCGCAATGCTCCTGCATGAGCCTCCAGAGCTGCCAGTATTACAGGAGTGGTGCACTGGCCTGTGTCAATTCTTTAATTACATATTTTAAACTGTAATCACACATTAACATTGTAATCTAATATGCCAAATAGGAATCTGTATTTTATGAAGCTTTCCAGGATTTTTGTTTTTAATACAGAATAAAGTTCAACAACAACTAAAAAATGATCACTGATATTTCTCTACTGCCTTTTCTCTTTGCACACTTTGATGAATCAGGCAGCCATACTGGAGGGACACAGGACCCACGGAACTGAAGGCAGTCTTCAGGGGACACTTAGCAACTCAGGAACTGATGTCCTTGATTCAATGGCTTTCAAGGAACTGAATTCTGACAAGGACTACATGAATTGGAAAGTGACCTAGGCTTAGCCAACACTGTGGCCTTGTCAGAGACCTTGAGCAGGACTCCTGACTCAGGGAAAATGTGAGATAATAAATGCATCTTCTTTTCGGTCACAGAGTTTGTGTTCCATTGTTGGTAGCAATGGGTAACTTTTTTTTTTTTTTTTTTTTTTTTTTGGGGGAGGGACTTAAAGAAAATTCGACCACTGAGCCACATCCCCAGCCCTGTTTTGTATTTTATTTAGAGACAGGATCTCACTGAGTTGCTTAGCACCTTGCCATTGCTGAGGCTGGTGCTGAACTCACAATCCTCCTGCCTCAGCCTCCCAAGCTGTTGAGATTACAGGCATTCGCCACGGCACCCGGCTAATAGGTAACTTTAATATTCTAGGTTTTTATATATTAATAGATAAGTGGTTTCCAAACTTGTTCAGTCATGATCTCTATCAATGTTAACATACATATAATAAGTGTTTTTGGTTAAGGATACGTTCCTATTATTATCTTTATATTAAATATTAGAATATTGATTGTGTATCAAATTATTTTCATAACTGTATTTTGGGGATATAATGAATATGCTGTATAGTTGGTCCATTTAAAGTGTACAGTTTCATGAGTTTTAATATGTTCAGAGTTATGCCAAATAGGAATCTGTATTTTATGAAGATTTTATTGTAATCAAATTTTAGGGAATATTTAGCAGCACAAAAATAGACCCTATATCTTTTAGCTATCCACCCCCATTCTTCCTCCCCCTGCCTGAGGCAAAAACTAATCTACTTTCTGTCTCCCAAGAATTTTCTATTCTAAACATTTAATATAAATGAAATCTATGTGTCGTCTTTTGGGACTGGTTTTCTTCACCTGACATAAATTTTCAAGGTTCACTCATATATTACTACTTTGCTCCATTTTATAACCAAATAATATTTAACTTTAAAATAGTTCCTTGTAACACAAGATTTCATTGTAAAGCTTTTCTCCTCCCTTTTTTAGCTTAAAAAAAGATAGAAATAAAGATTCTAACACTTTCTTTACGTTTGCAAGTGTTCTCCCATTTCAGGAACCCCCTAAGGTATACACAATTTTGGAGGGACCGAAGGGCACTTTTACCACTGAACTACATCCCCAGCCCTTTTAATTTTTTATTATGAGACAGGGTCTCACTAAGTTGATGAGGCTGATCTGAACTTGCAATCCTCCTGCCTCAGCCTTCTGAGTTGCTGGAATTAAAGTTGTGTCTACCACACCCAGCTACACATCTTATTTTAAATGGCGTAGTAAGTTATTATGTGGAGGAATATTTGTCTAAATAGTAATTAATAAAGTGGTTATTTTATGCCATGGACAAAGGAAAACACATACACACACACACACACACACACACACACACAAATAATGGACTAAGAGACGAACTTTTGGGGCTGAGGATATAGCTCAGCTGGTAGAGTGCTTGCCAAGGCCCTGGGTTCAATCCCCAGTACCACACACACACACAAAAAAAAAAAAAAGGAAAAAGAGAGAAGAACCTTTATTTTAAAACCATCTTATTAAATTTTGCCTAAGAGTAGCTCATATTATAACAAGGCTCTAATACAGTAATTTGCCTGTATATCCAGGGTTGGCCAATCAGTACTACTGAGTGCCCAGTAGTCCACAAGGCACTGAGAGTCCAAAACTACAATTGTGCAAACCATAGAAATCCACACAGGGAAACAGCCTTCCTGCCTGGTGAGCAGCCATATACCCACTGATGGATCTCATATAGCCCAGACTCTCCCTGTCCGAGCACACTCAGGACTTTCAAAGCTCTTGATCTACCATAGATCATAAATTTTTTTCCTATAAATATTTTTTCATTGGCAAAATTTTGTCACACCACCCCAGTGCCCTCTCAGGTGCTGAAGTATTGATTGTCCCCAGATTTGGAGAGTTGTTGTTTGACATCCCTCAGCTGGCAAACGCTTGGAGATCTGCCTTCAAAAGATAGCCACCTTCTCCCTACCCTAGTTGTGCTCCCTACCACAGGCAGATTGAATCCAGTGACTGGCTAATGGTGGGAGGAAACAGCCTGGCTCCCCCACCCCAATTCAGGACAACCAAAGAGCGCCCCCCCATCTCCTGAACCCCAGCAGGATCAGCTAGATGTTGTCATTAGCATTTCACTGCAGTTCATCTTCTTCCTCTGCTCCACCTTGAGTCTGCTTTCCAAAAAAACCCAACCTGCTCCAAATATGGAATTTTCATAAAACATTACATTAATTAGGGTTTGAGCACTTGACTTATGAAGAAAGAAGTACTACAAGAAACCAGGTGATTCAGCCAGTAAGTTCTACTAGTGGAAAATTACTGTCATATGAAGACATTCTAGTGTTTTTCAATGTCACTTTTTTGTTGTGGTTTTGATACCAGGGGCATTTAACCACTCAGCCACATCTCCAGCCCTTTTTATTTTGAGACAAGGTCTTGCTGAGTCGCTTAGGGCCTCACTAGATTATTGAAGCTGGCTTTGAACTTGTAGTCCTCCTGCCTCCACCTCCCTAAGTCACTAGAATTACTGGTGAGCCCCACCATGCCTGGCTCAATGTCACTTTCGATATTACGATTTCCATATGTTTATCCCAAATGACACTTGATTCTTTGCAAAGACTTATGAGTTCAAGGCTCAAGAGGCCACAGAAGATTCTAAACTGGATTTATCTGAGTAGAGGATCTTTCAAGGTCATGGTGTTCAGGTTTTTCAGAACTCTGCCTTTATGATCTTATAACTTGATGATCAAAGTAGAAGCCAGGATGATGCTCAGATAGAAAAGAAATATAAACCACCCACTTAGTTCAACTGAAATTAAATTTGAGTTGAATGGTGTTCAATTCAAACCATGTTTTTCTGGTTCTCTGTTTAAGAAAACATCTTGTCACTGTTGTTATTGTTCTCATTGGGGGGCGGCTAGAAGTGCCTAGAGGAGGTACCACTGAGGAAGTCTGGGCCAGGTCAGAAAGGATTCTCCAACACATGCAGCATAGCACAGGTAGGTTAGAGAAACAGTTGTTATCAGCAAGGGCAAAGAATAGAGCTAAAATAGTTTCAGGCATCTGTCCAAGGGCGAGCCAAGCAAAGAGAAGAAAGAGCCAGGCTGAAAATGAAGAAATAGGCCATTCAACCGAATCAGGCAGCTGCTGATGCCTTTTAAGGAATATACATGGGAACTGAGGTGCTGAAGCTTTTCTCAGGTTGCCTGGTGAATACAGCAGGGAATGGTGTGGCAGCTGCCTGTCTACTCTGAACTGGACAATCACTCCAATCTTGTTTCCTTTTCCTTGCACCCATCTCCTCAAAATCTTACCCATTGAAAATGACAATGGGAGACTGTAATCCCAGTGGCTCCGGAGGCTGAGGCAGGAGGATCTCGAGTTCAAAACCAGCCTCAGCAAAAGCGAGGCCCTAAGCAGCTCAGTGAGACCCTGTCTCTAAATAAAATTCAAAACAGGACTGGGGATGTGGCTCAGTGGTCAAGTGCCCCTGGTTCAATCCCTGATACCAAAAAAAAAAAAAAAAGAAAGAAAGAAAAAAAATCGACAGTGGGTACTGACAGGTGAGGGATGTAACCCTTAAAGGTCTAATTCTACCACACTAATTCTGTGCTTTTATTTCCCCATACCTGAAGAACCATGGTCTCCCACACACCACATTCCAGAGCATCCTATGATCATATAACAACAGAAATTTCCAGTCACAGGTCGAGTGTAGTGTACCGAGAGAATAGGTTGTGGGAAAACCATTGTTCTCCCTCTGCCCCTTGGTATGGAAACATCACAACAGGCAGTGCTGCCCACAACTCCAGCAAAATCTCATCCGTGTGCAGGGTCAGTGTTGTTTGAACCTAGGAAGGGGTAGACAGTCTGAGAAAAATGGAGAGCTGAGTTCCATTAATCCGGATCATCTTCTTTTGTAGCATCCCCAGTGAGATCACGGCTTGGAGAGGTAAGGGTGTGGCTCTCCCAAGGACAGGCTTTTGGCCAACGTCCATCAGTGACAATGCCGAGTTGTAGGTTTGTTTGGTTTTCAGAGCTTCTTTTTAAAAGCCGTGTCAGATTCAGAATCTAGTCCTAATTTTGAGATGCCACCGGTGATCCTCCGATGTCTTCAGGTAGAACTAAAATTGATCCACATAAACTTCTTTTCTTCAATTTTAAAACACCTCTAGGCTACAGGAGAGTTTAAGAAAACCAGACATCATGTTTGGCACGGGGACAGACCCCAAACATGTCCAGATGTGTCAGTTCCCTCCAGATTTCTCTTCCTATGCTTGTGGATTCCCAAAAAATTAAGAATCGCTGTTCTCAGGCTTCCAAAGTCAGAACAGACCCTTTTTAAAGCAAGAGCTGGGACGTCAGACCATCTACAGAAAAAAAATAAAGGTAAACTGCAAACAAGAAAAGAAAGAACTGATAAGTACTGTGTGACCTTGGGCAAGAGCAGTTTCCTCCACTGAACCTCGTGGGGTCCTAACTTAAACAGAGGAGAACCTGATCTCCAATTCAAAAATTATATGACATTATTTACATGCCAAACCCCGCCCAAAACTTCCTGGAAATTTTACTATTTATGAGTTTGGCTCCTCCTCCCCTTTCAATCCTTTGATTAAATAGCTTCCCTCCTGAAGGGTTTTGAAGTGGGAGCAGCACCTTCGGACTCCTGCCAGAAGCAAACTCCTGTCCACATGGCCAGGGTGGCGAGCCTCAGCCTTGGCTCTCTGCTTCTGCTTTCTCTCCTGCTGGACCGAGGTGTGCTAGCCAAGGAGTTGAAGTTTGTGACATTGGTAAGTACGCTTTTGTCATTGCTTTCTCTTTGAGCCCGTGTTACCAGCAGGGTCTGGAAAAGTCAAGGATCAAGTTTCACTTTTCTGTTGTCTCCGGGAGACCAGGGTCTGTTTAAACTCAGAAAGCAAATCATCGAGTTTTGCAAGTTCCTCTTAATGAAGACATAACCACGACGACATGCCCTAACAACAACAAAAAGGTGTGCTGACTTTTTTTTTTTTCCGTTTGCCTTTGTTGGTGTTATTTATTGACTCACTCACTTTAGAACTGCCCTGAATTCGGATTGCTTTTGACAGCCCTGAGAAGCAGAAGTGGCAGTTGGCACTGTTGATATACCAGCAGCTAACCTAGCTTTGTTCAATGTGATGATTATTTGTTGGCAAACAGAAAAAAAAAAAAAAACTATCATTATCTGAACTTAGCAGCCGACCTTCCCCTTATGTTATCACGTTTAGAAATGGACTTTGTTTGGAATGACTTTCTGATACATAGATTGAGTTGGTCCTTTAAATGGTGCTTTTCCCTAGCCGTGGCCTGTGTGCTGTGTTAGCCAAAGCGGGAGAGTAGGTGGCAGATGCATGGTGTCAGCAAAAGAGAGCAGACTACAGGCATTGTTTAGAAAGTGTATGGAAAGAGGGTTTGCAGAGGAAAGGGGGTTCACCTCAGTATGTAGAAGTCTTGGATTTTCTGTTTCTTTCCTCCACTTGGGTTTTACTCTGTCTCTAGGCCTGTCTTGCTCTTTCTCACCCCTGAAAAAAATTTTTTTTAATCTAATGAGTGTGGGATGATGAATAAGCATTTTTTGTAAGAATGCTTCAAAATCATTGTTTTTATAATTTAGAAGAAAGCCACCTTTCAAAACTTAAAACTTAAATTTGAAGTTCCCATTCTCTCAGGATGGTGTATTCAGAACTTTCTGCTTTGCTTTCTATAGGAAATCTGAATATCACATGTTTATGTAAATCATGATTCGTAGTCCAGTAAATCTTTACTGAATCACCAACATGAAAGTGATAGAAAAACCAGAGAGACCCATCGCCGGTTTGTGTACAAACAATGGCCAGCTGTCAGACTTCAGCGCTGAAAACCAGCCCATCAGGCACCTTCTGTAAGGAAACCCTTTCGAGCTAGACTTTTATTTATATTCCTGGTTTCCTTGCCAACGTGTGCATTATAAAAGTATAAGGACTCTGGAAAATGTACTACATTCTGTCATTTCTGCCGCTCTATAAACCTGGGAGAGGCTGGTTGAACGGCAATCTTTGTTGAGATATTACAGTGAACCCTTCATGATAGATTCTCTCCTCCATGTTTTACCAACAGCTCAGGATAACTTCTCTCCATTTCCCCTCCACTCTTGGTTAAAGGGCATTCAGGAACTACAAGTTAATTCTTTTCTAAGAAAAAAATAAATAAAGAGGTAGCTCTCTTGGAACTAAAAAAAATTACCAAATTTCCCATGAAGCTAATGTTCACTATTTTTCCTACGATGGCTTCCTTCTATTAATGTTAAATAAATTGCAGTTTAATGCACCTTCTGTGGCCCGTAACAAAACAACTCTCTAATGGTTTAAACCAGACAATGTCATTTCTTCTTTTCATTGACTATAGAGAATTGTGACTATAAATGTTTAAATCGTTTACTGATAAAAAAAAAAAAATATCCTTAGAAAATTGTTAAGAAGTCAGGCATGGTGACATACATCTATATCCCTATAATCCCAGCAACTCAGGAGGCTGAGGCAGGAGAATCCAAGACCTGCCTCAGCAACTTAGCAAGGTTCTAAACAACTTAGCTGGGAATGTGGCTCAGTGGTTAAGCGCCCCTGGTTTCAATTCCCAATACCAAAAAAGAAAAAAAAAATTATTAACAGAAGCAGAATAAAAGAAAAGTGCCAATGACTAAAGTGGCTATGTTAATAAACAATAGTTAACTGAGTACTTAACTGCATTCTAGGTACTATTCTGAGACATCAACGTGTGTAATGTCACATAATTCCTTCAACAATTCTACAAAGTAGGATTGCTACTTAGAACACAGGAAGACCAGTTAAATTTTAATTTCAGATAAACTGAGACTCTTTTTTTTTAACATAAGTATGCCCCATTTAATATTTGAGCATCTTGTGTTTCTACTTATTAAATCTGGCAACCATTCCATAAGGAGTTTTTAAAAACATATTCCTGGGCTGAGGTTGTGGCTCAGTGGTAGAGTGCTTGCCTTGTACATGTGAGGCCCTGGGTTCGATCCTCAGCACCATATAAAAAAATGAGTAAATAAAATAAAGATATTGTGTCCATCTACAACTAAAAAAAAATTCTTTTAAAAAACATATTCCTACTTTATAGATAAAGAAATTAAGCTGGGTGCAGTGGCACACACCTGGAATTCCAGCCGCTTGGGAAGCTGAGACAGGAGGATCACGAGTTCAAATCCAGCCTCAGCAATGGCAAGGCGCTAAGCAACTCAGTGAGATCCTGTCTCTAAATAAAATACAAAATAGGGCTGGGGATGTGGTTTAGTGGTCGAGTTCAATCCCTGATATCTTCCCCCCACAAAAAAAGAAATGAAGCACCAAGAGGCTACATACCTTGTTCATGGTCACCCAGCCAGAGTGGTGAAGACAGGATTTGAACCCAGGCTGTCTGACCCCAGAGGCCATGCCCCTCCCTAATCATGAGGTATAGTCTGCCTCTGCTGTGGCTATATCATCCAGCAAGGGAGCTGGTATGAGATACCCATTAGGTTTACTATATTTGCCTGACTCAGAATAAGTAGATGATTTCCTTGCTTTTCCTCTGTAATCCAAAAAAAAAAAAATAAATAAATAAGTTCTTCTACTCTGAAAAGCTGCTCTCAGCAGAAAAATCAGGAAACTGTCCTTGATTCTTGTTCTCACCCATGAAAAGTCACAACGCGATCTTTTAAAACAAATTCACCAAAGCGCATCCCATTGATGGCTAGTTGGACCACTTATTAAAGATATCGCAGGAAAAAAAAAGACAGGTTTCCAAAGTAAGTCAGAATGCAGGCTACACTGTGTGAAAAAGTCTCTTTAATGCAGTACTTATCAAAGTTTTCAGTATGCACTGTGGCTTTCAAGGAAAGGATCTAGAAAATTGTTTCCTAAAGTGACCGTGGCATCCACCTCCCCTCTCTTTTCCCCAGAATATCCTTACAGAATTGCTATTTTTAACTTTATAGTAAGTACTGTGAGTTCCTATGTTCTCATTAACCAGCTTCGATAATTATCACTCAGGGCCAATCTTGTTTCATCTATATGCCCACTCATTTCCCACACACACCTGTTGCCTTTTTTTAAAGTAATCTTGTACGTCATATCATTCCACCACAAATGGGAAAATGCCATTTAAAAGCGTAATCTCTCCTTGAAACAGGAAAAACCACAAGTTTGATTATTTCAGGCAGAGAGAAAAATTCCATCCCCATCCCACTGGGGTTTTCCAAAGAAAGGGATGATGAGTCACAAGGTATAAGCTCTTTTCATTCTCCATGGTTGACATTCATGCAGAATTATTATATGATTTCATAGGACATCCTTGACAGAAACAGCCTTCAGATCCTAAGTATGTTGTCCCTTTACCAGGATGAGTAACTTCCAAGTCATGGTTGGACAAATTCAAACCATGCCACACACTACACATTTCAAGGTTCTTCCTCACTCCTCCTCCCCAGGCGGGCAGCCCAATCCTGCTATTAATTTTCTGATGCTATTTGCCAGAAGTTAAAAGCCACACTGAGGAAAATATTCAACTTCTATTAACTCACATTCCACCATCATTTATCAGGTTTGGAACCTCAGACGGGTCACTTAATGAAGCAACTGAGCTTCAGTGTCCTCAAACTTAATTTCCCCAACTTAAAGTTAGAAATAACAATCATAACTATGCTTCCTATTTGAAAGAGGATCAAGTGACCTGATAGACATGTGACTATGTAAGGTTAACTGGATGTCCTCAGTCCAAAATGGAATCTTTCCAATTTTGGGGTCCTTAATTATTCTTTTATTAAAATGGTGTTAGAAAACATAAAATTTACTATCGTAACCATTTTTAAGTGTACAGTTCAATGGCATTAAGTATATTTGTGAGTTGTACTGCCATCACCTGCATCTCCAGGACTCCCTCCATCTTGTAAAACTGAAACTCCGTATCCATTGAAAAATAGATCCCCTTTCTTCCTCCTTCTAGCCCCTGGCAAATGCCATTCCATGTTCTGTCTCTTGAGTTGGGTTAGTCTCAGTAGTTGTCTTTGTTTGACTGCTTATTTACTTAGCATAGTGTGTTAAGGTTCTAGATGATCCTTCATTATTACAGAACTTGCAACTTGAATAAGAACACATGTGACTTAAAGGAAGCAATGAAAGGAGAATAGAATGGAAGTGTTAAATATTTACCATCTCTCCTAGAACCTTGGACACACTACTTAGCTTCTCTGCACTCAAGCCTTCCCCTCTATGAATTCTAACTTATTTTTTCATGATGGAGGCACAGTTCTGGGGGTCCAGTATGGCTTGAGGAAGGGAGAGGCGGGTGGGGAGAACAGAGAGGGGCTATGACCGTAGTTCAGACAAAGCATGGGGAAGACCTAAGTTAGATCAGGAAAAAGGAGAATTGGAAAAGAATGGATAATTGTTTTGAATTGTGAAAGCAGAATCCCTGTGGGTTGAATGTGAGTAGTAAGAAAAAGGGAGAAACCAAAAGGATTCTGTGTTTTCTAACTCGGGTTACTGGAAAGATAGTGATGCCCAGGAGATAGAAAGCATAAAAGATATTAAATATCGGGAAAACCTAAGGAATATGAGGAATAAATACCAAAGAAATTTATGGTACTCCTGACTATATAACACAACACAGCAGGCCTAAGAATCAGACTACCTGGGTTTGAATGTCTGCACAACCCCTTACAAGCTATGTGATTTTAGATGAGTAACTTGAACTATATGTGCTTCAGTTTCATCATCGATGGAATAGAGATAA